ACAGATAGACAGAGATGAAGACGAGCACGCACGCAGACGGATGGACGGATGTACGGACAGACGAATGTTGAGGCGTAGGAATTTGACAAAGGATGGGTCACACAGACGTACAGAAGAACAGAGAGTTCGCCGGATTAAGCAGCGCATTGTGGGACGTACAGACAGACATGCGGGCAGACAGAGAGACGGACAGACGGACATTCAATGTAAGTCGAGAAGGGACACGATCCGTGTCTATACCGTCCACGTTGAGGGTCGCCTTGGCCCTACGAAACAAAAATGATGCTTCTCGTGATAGCAGTACCAAAACATGTTTTATTATTATTATCATTGCTGCTGCTGCTTTTAGATACATCCACTAAATGATATGCATCATTATGTATATGTGCGTATTCATCCGCGATCGTGTCACCAAGTATCAATAACTCTCGATAATAACTCTGTATCAATAACTCTCGATCAGACCCCTGCGACGTTGGTTTGTGTGTTTGTGCAGGGGGAGGGAATCCACTTTTGTAAAACGAATTGCCCGAGAAAGCCCCACCGAACACACACGAGACGACAGCAGAGACGTAAAAACAACAAATGACATAAAGGAGTCGTTCCTGTGCATACACACACACACAAATATGAAGAAACTACTTGCTGTACTGCCCTTGTGTAAGAAACCAGATCTCGTTGTCGATCCCTCTCTGATCCACCAACGCCAAAATCATAAATGGTTGTTTCGTCTCATCCGTTGTCCGATTCACTTCCATATCGACACACTCACTCACTCACCCTCCCACTCACTCATTCACTCTCCCACTCACTCATTCACTCTCTCACTCACTCACCCTCCCATTCACTCACTCACCCTCCCACTCACTCATTCACTCTCCCACTCACTCACTCATACACTCACTCACCACACAGCAGTCACAACAACACAGACTCACTCGCCCAATCACTCACCAACACACTCAACCACTCACTCACCCACACACCCGCGCGCTCACTCACTCTCCCACTCACTCACCACACTGCAGGTCACAACAACACACACTCACTCGCCGAATCACTCACCAACACACTCAACCACTCACCCACACACTCGCTCACTTACACACTCGCTCACTCTCCCACTCACTCACTTGCTCACTCACCCTCCCACTCACTCACTCTCCCACTCACTCACCACACTGCAGGTCACAACAACACACACTCACTCGCCCAACCACTCACCAACACACTCACCCACACACTCGCTCACTCGCTCAATCACTCACTCACTCTCCTGCTCACTCACTCACCACACTGCAGATCACAACAACACTCACTCACCCAACCACTCATCCACATACTCAACCATTCACCCACACACATGTTCACTCACTCACCCACTCACTCACCACCCACTCACTAACCACCCACTCACCACACCGCAGGTCACAACAACACTCACTCACCCACTCACTCACCACCCACGCAGCACACTGCAGTTCACAACAACACTCACTCACCCACTCACTCACTACCCACGCACCACACTGCAGGTCACAACAACACTCACTCACCCACTCACTCACCACTCACGCACCACTCCGCAGGTCACAACAACACTCACTCACCCACTCACTCACCACCCACACACCAAACCGCAGGTCACAACAACACTCACTCACCCACTCACTCACCACCCACACACCAAACAGCAGGTCACAACAACACTCACTCACCCACTCACTCACCACCCACACACCACACTGCAGGTCACAACAACACTCACTCACCCACTCACTCACCACCCACGCACCACACCGCAGTTCACAACAACACTCACTCACCCACTCACCACCCACTCACCACACTGCAGGTCACAACAACACTCACTCACCCACTCACTCACCACCCACGCACCACACTGCAGGTCACAACAACACTCACTCACCCACTCACCACCCATGCACCACTCCGCAGGTCACAACAACACTCACTCACCCACTCACTCACCACCCACACACCACACCGCAGGTCACAACAACACTCACTCACCCACTCACTCACCACCCACTCACCACACTGCAGGTCACAACAACACTCACTCACCCACTCACTCACCACCCACACACCACACTGCAGGTCACAACAACACTCACTCACCCACTCACTCACCACTTAAGCACCACACTGCAGGTCACCTCACTCCTCTGTCCTGCTGCTTCCCCTCACGAAGCCCCACATTGGAATTCCCTCTCCCACCACCATCATCATCACCATCATCGCCATCGTCGTCTCTCTTCCCCAAACTCGTTTCACAATCAACTTGTTCGATTCCAGAAGACGGGTTAGACTCCGATCTCTAGCGACGCTGACAATGCTGCTCGTCACTGGCCGCTTGCGTTTTTGTTTGGGGGGCTGCGGGCCTATGCACCGGCAAATGTTCACATCACGCCTGAAATGTTGCCGAATCAATAATCGTGCCGTGAATACATCAGTCGATTATAATCAATCATCGGCCATGTTCAATCCACTGCTTTATGAATGCCCCTCCCCCCCCCCTCTAGACCCCCCCACCCCCATCAAACCGTGGCGGCACCTTCCTATTAGATGCTGCGATGGACCCAGCTGCGCCTATAGCACCTGCACAGCACGAGGCGATTATAATAATCATCATCATCGCTCTATCTCCCACCGACGCGTTCCGCTCAAAAGTGAATGTAGAGTTGGAAGGAAATATCCTTGCAGGAATGCGGACAAAGACAAAGATCCCCCGCATAGCCTTGAACGGACTGTTGGGGCAAGTGCTGTTAGCGAGCACCTATGAAGGCCAGAACGGCACGCGAGGGGGTGGGTGGCCAGCACCACGCCCGGCCGCCTTTGTCTCCCGAGTAGCAATGTTTATACACATCGCACTCAATTGAGGCTGAGTTGACCTAGGGGAGGCCCAGGACCGGTGCAGATAATCGTCACTGGTGTTGGTCGTGAGCGGGAATCGAACTCGGGGTCGCCGGGTTCGTAGCGCAGCGCGCTAACCGCGGCACCACCGCTCCCCACGTATACATTGAAAGGAATAAATCACTGAATGAATTAACGAATGATTGCACACGTAAACGTTAACTTAATTGCAATCAAGTACCTCCTTTCCAAGGAGTTGTTAGTTCTAACAATGCCTTGGTGTTCGAAAATCAAATAATACGTTGACAATAATATGAAGATGTATGCACGTATCTTAATCACGCTTGGTTACGTACGGTGCAAAATAAGTTCAACATACGTGCAATTCCAGGGCTGCATATTCATGTTAAATATGTAGATACATAATAGAAAATGATTACACTTGTATTAATACGTACATATATGTCATGGGACCTCCCTTGCATATATGTACGTATGAATACGTGTGTGTGTGTGCATCACCATCCACCCGTTCACAACACCCATGAGGGTGAAATTTGCGTACTCACGACGGCGAACGCGGACGATGAGGAGGTGTGTAGGAGGCCATCATCATCATCAAGATGATCATCATCATCATGATGATGATCATTATCATCATCATCCAGCGGTGGATCGACAGAGTGCTGCGAGAGAGAGAGAGCTTAAATAAATGCAATACTACTCGTTGTATTTAGATGGATTCACAGCCTTTCAGACCCGTATATCTCTCTCTATCAATATATATGAATATTTAAAAAAAAACACGTGAAAAACGAATCTCCATCACACATGCAGACGAGGACGCAGACAAAGATCCCCCGTGTGGCCTACGAGTGACGCTGTTGGGACACGGAGGGGCTGTTAGAGAGGCACCGACGGAAGGCGACACGACGAACGACCGGTCGGTTAAGCCCCACACCCGTCCGCCTTTGTCTTCCCAACTGCGGTTTAATTTAGTTTTTTTTTACTAACTACACCCGCACCAGGGTACACTCGCTTAAGGCTCAGGCGACCTCTGTGGGAATCACAGAACCGGTTCTGGCACCGCTCGCCACTAATGACAGCCGAACTGCTCTCGGATAAGCTTCTGGGTTCGTATACCGTAGTGCGCTAACCACTGCGCTACCGCTCCCCGCACACACACACATATATATACATAACCACACACGTGTATATTCGTACTTGTTATGTGTATATGTCGTTATCATCATACACGCAAGACGTGGGTCAATCCACTGCTGGATGAAAGCTTCCCCCCACCCCCCTCCCCCAAATCCAGATATGTCGCGATCATGATGAGAAAATATACAAACGCGCAGCCATGGTCAATCCACTGCTGGATGGAGTCTCCGGGGGGCTCCAAGCAACAGCCAGAACCCACCATCCTGCCAAGCGACACAAATAATCATCATAATAATAATAACGATATAGATATATATATTTTTTTTATTAAAAAAAATAAAATTCGAACATTTTATTTTATTCAAAAATAAAACCCCCAGAACGCGACCGATGCACCTGGCACCTGCGCAAGGAAGCTTGCCCCCCTCCGTCCCATCGTCCCCGACTGCGCGTGCCTCGGAACGCGGCTGAGCTTCGGGGGACACCGCAGAGCAGAACAGAAGGCGGACAGGCGGGTCTCGAGCGAGCTGTTTAGCCCGCGGACTTACACCGACGAAGCGATGTGAAGATCGCAGCGCGGTTAGGTGGTGGGTGGGGGGGGTGTTGCATCTGAGCGGTTGTTGGTGGGGGGAGCGGTGGGGGGGGGTAAGGAGGGATGTCTGGGCGGAGAGAGAGAGGAGGGAGGGTGAGGGATGAGGTTGGACACGGGTGGTGGTGGTGGTGGTTGTGGTGGAGGGAGGGGGGGAGGGTCCGGGTTAGGGGAGGTATGGATGCTAGATGCATGAATTATTAGGGAGAGGGTTAGAGCGGTGGTAGTGGTGGTGGTGGTGGCGATAGTGGAGGTGCTGGGGTTGGTGGTTGTTGGGCTTGGTGGTGGTGGGGGGGTTGTGAACAGCGAACGGAGAGCGGCCGTGTGGGTGGGTGGGTGGGTGGTGGCGGTGGTGTCCGCCTTGCGTGCGTCTTGAGCGTGTGAGCGTTACACCGCTTGCTGCTACAGCTGCTGCTGCCGCCGCCGCCGCCGCTGCTGCTGATGATGATGATGCTGATGATGATGGTGGTGGCAGCGGTGGTTTCAGTGTTCAATGCAGCTTCATAGCCCAGCTGGTGGCGACGATCGGGACGTTTTAAATCGAACAAGATTGTCAAGCGCGTATTTGTTGCCTGCGGATTTCTGCGCTGCGTTTGAAATATTATTCATATTCGGCGGCGAGAGGCTGGAGAGAGCGAGAGAGAGAGAGAGGGGAGAGAGAATAAATCATTCTTTATTTTCTTCAACCCTCACTAAGAAGCTCGACTCGAGATTGAAAGTACAGTGATAACAATTCGACTCAACGTCTGTTATGTGTGCGACTGCGACCTGCGTTAAGGCTACAACATCGGGTGTACACAAGCCGTGCGATTTTGTATTTGCAACTTGCAACAGAATTCCGCGTAGAAGATCGGAAGGAAACGTTTTAAGACGTTTTTTGTCGTCCACTATTAGCGTGGAATTTTTTTTGTTTGTTTGTACCATTCGATGCGACGGCCGTAAGTACATCTCGGCCGCTGTTTTGCACATCTGGCAAGAGAAGATACGAGCGAGACAAACAGAGAGAGAGACACACAGACAGAGAGAGACGCGCGGTGGGGATGATTTTAAGAGCGTGATAAGATCGTAAGGGTGTCAACAACAGACAACAAGCAACCGACAACAGCAAGCGTACGATCCGATACAACGCAACTGGTTCTCGCGATGCTGACGATGACGATGCTGATGCTGAAGAAGATGCAACTGCAGATTGACACTAAGAAATGATTTTGAGGAATGCGTAAATTACACGAGTCGGACAGATTGAGAGCGACGGCTGACCAAAACTCTAGTTTGTAAAGCAAACAATCACCTTGTATTATCATCATTAATTATAATTAACAATTGCAATGCTGCTGCAATATAGAGGTTGTTAGCAGGCAACTACAATCAAAGATAGAACGGCTGATACGCTGTAACGAAACGAGTATCATTGATACCAAATGGTAAAAAATTGTTGACACTAAAAATTGCAACTGCTGGAAGAAGATTTATTTTCTGGGAGGAGACTGCATACTCGACGGTTCGTGACCATACCCAAAGCTGGGAATACGAATATTTTTTCGGGTAAAAAAATATTTAAAGCAGACGACCAATTTGACAGTTAACAACAGACAACGAGGATACGAATATTCATCATCAACACATTCTATAACGAAAACTATACTCTCGCTTGTGATTATCATCTGTACGCGCAATCATACTGCTCTTGGCATTGGACCGAAGATCTCATCCGATTTCACGCCGTCATTAAATTCCCCATCGTTGATTTTCCCAAACATCAACACGACACCCATCGACACAACAACATCGACAACCCCAACCCGCGCGCGTCGCTCACAGCACTTGCCCCAACAGTCTGTCAAGGCTACACGAGTGAGGTGTGGGGGATCTTTGTCTTTGTTACCGGAGGCAACCTCCTCCACCTCTGCCACCGCTGGACCGTCGCTGCTAAAAGCGCAAAAAAGGTCGAAACTCTTCAATTTACAACCGAGGGCGATCACCCTCCCCCTCCACCCGAGCAGCCACTATCGACCGTGCTTAGCTCACCTCCTCAACTCACCCGCTCCACCGCATCGCTCGCTCGCTCGCTCGCTCACCAACGAGCCCACTCGCCTGGTTGCTCGGCCGTACAGCATCGCCATCATCATCAGCAGCAACAGCAGCAGCAGCAGCAGCGGGCAACATCAGCAGCCACTTGGCGGTGCAGACAGCTGATGTACTCTCTTGCTGCAGCCTGCTCGCTCCCTTCGCCGGTTCCATCTCTTTCTCACCAAAGCTACTCACCCACCCACCCGACTCGCTGCCCTATCTACCCACCACCACTACCACCGCCAGCGCCTGGCGACTCATCACGATCGCAGGCGCTCAGCTGCCCCCCGGTCACCGCTCAACACTCCTCGAAGCGATTCGTTGAGGGTGGTCCCGAGGTAAGCGAACGTCGCCCTGATGTACGCGTGTCGGGGAGGGAGTCGCGTTGTTGTGGTGTGTTGTTGTTGTTGTTGTTGTGAATGTTGTTGTTGTGAGTATTGTTGTGAGTATTGTTGTGATTGTTGTCGTTGTGAGTATTTGTGTTGTGAGTATTGTTGTGACTATTGTTGTCGTTGTGAGTATTTGTGTTGTGAGTATTGTTGTGAATGTTGTTGTCGTTGTGAGTATTTGTGTTGTGAGCATTGTCGTGAATGTTGTTGTTGTGAGTAGTATCGTGAGTATTGTTGTGAATGTTGTTGTTGTGAGTATTATCGTGAGTATTGTTGTGAATGTTGTTGTTGTGAGTATTATCGTGAGTATTGTTGTGAATGTCGCCGTGAGTATTGTTGTTGTGAGTATTGTCGTGAGCATTGTTGTTGTGAGTCTTGCTGTGAGGACTGTTGATGTGATTATTGTGAGTGTTGTTGTCGTCGTGAGCATTGTCGTGAGCATTCTTGTTGTGAGTATTGTTGGGAATGTTGTTGTTAGTGCTGCTGTTGTTGTTGTTGTGTGTCTGAGCAGTGGGGGTTGCTGATTTTTTTTTCCGTCTGGGTGTCGTCTGGTCCTAGACCGCGTCCCGACACCCGTTATTAATGAAGGCTGCGACTGCGGCTGACAACAATGGGAATATGTGAACGCATGAACGAGATGTCCTGCGTGCGTGTGTGTGTTTGTGTGTTACACGGAGATTGTATGGGAGTGTGGGGAGCGGTGGTGTAGCGGTTAGCGCGCTGCGCTACGAACCCGGCGACCCGAGTTCGATTCCCGCTCAACGGATACCAATACCCGGTGACGATTATCCGAACCGGTTTTGGGCCTCGCCTAGGTCGACTCAGCCTCAAATGGGCACCTGGTGCTGTGTGTAAACATTGTGCCGGCACGCAGTGTGTTAAGGATACACGGGGGTTTCTGTGTCTTTGTATGGGTTTAGTGTATATATTTATGTTGTTTTGAGGTTGTATATATATTTACGTGTTTTTAACGTGTATATGTATGTGTTCAGTGTGTGTATATGTGTGAGCGATGTATGTAATTAGTTTACGTGAATTGTTAAATACAGCCGCTTACAAAATATCTGCCAATTAAATATATACCACGCATATGTGAACATATTACACGTGTGCCTTGCATTATCACATATATATTACTTTACAAAAATACCTCTAAATATAATATATTATCCTTATCTGAAAAATGAATAGCAGTAAAAATGTACTTAAAGTTATAGTTCTGTATTACTGCAATAATCACAGTAATTGACAATCGTAAATCATTGCAATATGTACTACTGTATATGTCGCAATCATTGCAAGTGGAGTGTGTGTGTTCGTGTGTTGGGGAGACAAAGGCGGCCGGGCGTGCGTGGTTCCCTCATGTGCCGTTCCGGCTTCCGTAGGTGCTGCTCGCTAACAGCACTTGCCCCAACAGTCTGTTGAGGCTATACGGGGGGGGGGGGTCTTTGTCTTTGTATGTATGGCGTGCACGCAGAGTCGGTGTTTGTCAATCCACTGCTGGATAGTGGGGGTAGAAGGGGGTGGGGGGGGGTATTTGACCATACTTCACCACGCCGGTCAATGGTCCGTAGGTGTATGTGCAAGTGTAACGTACTAGTGTATCTTTGAACATAACTAATTGTGTTCTGGTCTGCATCATATATATTTAATTCGCACTGATATATACAAAAACAAATAGCGTGTTTGTGCCGTAAATAGTACGTATGGGATTTTTATATGCGTGTATTTATATATGTACGTGGGTTTGTCTTGTGGTAAGACAACTCGTAACTATATATATATACATATCTTGCACATATATGTCAATATACAAATTATCCGTGTTCACATATATATACAAATTACCCCTATAGAATACATCTAACATAAAATGTAATGTCCATTCGAGAGCGAGCGTTGTGTCAATTCTACCGATGTCCGTGAAATATAACCCCGAGTTTGTGCATTTTAATCCTGTAGAAATAATCTGACAACATCAACACCAACAACAGCAACAGCGGAGGTGTTTAGAATGTTGGGGGAGAGGGGTTTTGCTAAAGCGGAGGCACGCTGAGGTCGCCGATTTGGTTTCACTCACGGACTGGGGGGGGGGGGGGGGGGTGGCAGCCTCACTCAGCCTGGAGCTCCCAAGCGCTGCTCCGAGTCTCAACACTCACGCGGGATACGAGACCCGTCAGCATCATCATCATCAGCAGCAGCAGCATCAGCAGTAGTTGTAGTGGTGGACCGAGCAATTCGCCCACGGGTCCCGGTGGAGGAGGGTGACGATGAAAGCCTGAGAGCAAGGCGACTGCCGAGAGCGTTGTGGGTTCCTGACAGCAGACAAAGACGCCGTGTCGTCTTGAACACGCTGCACGCCGACAGCAGCAGCTATACCAGTGGTCGGCAACCTACGGCTCCGGAGCCGCATGCGGCTCTTTACAGGCTGCTTCTTGACGATGAGTACAGTATATGTACTCAGATGCATTGCGGCTCTTGAAATACTGAATTTTGTACCGAATTGGAAAGAAATGGCTCTTCTTGTTATTTTGGTTGCCGACCCCTGAGCTATACGAAGGGTTACCGGCACGGCGAGCGATGAGATGGGTGGCCAGCACCACGCCTCGGACGACTTTGCACACCGCGCACCATTTAAGGCTGAGTCGACCTAGGGGGGGGGGGGCCCAGAATAGGTTCAGATAATCGCCACTGATATTGACCGTGATCGGGAATCGAATTCGGTTCGCTGGGATCACAGCGCAGCGCGCCAATCGCTCCACCACCGCTCCCCGTACGTGCACAGCGACAAAGATCCCCCGTGTAGCTTTAAGAGACTGTCGGGGCAAGTGCCGTTAGCGAGCACCTGTGAAGGCCGGCACGGCACGCGATGGAGTGGGTAGCCAGCACCACGCCCGACCGCCTTTGTCTCCCCGGTGCTGACGTTTACAATCGCACCAGTGACAGTGCTCATTTAAGGCTGAGTCGACTGTGAGGAGGACCAGGACCGGCACTCGTGTGCTGTATTAATTGTAGCGTTATGGATACACTCGACACATATATATACAGCGATCAAGAAGGAGCGTTGCCCGAAACGTCGACTATAATTCCCTATAACTGTATTTTGTTTCTCTAACGGTAGTGCTGTCAGCACAGAGACACGATAAGTAACTGAGCGAATGGTGCAGAATGCTAGCGATGTTCTAGAGGCGCTAGAGAGAGCTGGACATTCGGCACGGTTATAGCCCCCAGTCTGTGCATTGTAATCCTATAGAACGATCTGACAACAACATCATCAACAACATCAACAACAACAACAACATCAATAACAACGGAGGTGTTTAGAATATTGGGAGGGTCGCTAAAGTGGAGGGACGCGGATTTCGCCGATTTGGTTTCACTCACGGACTGGGGGGGCAGCTTCACTCAGCCTGGAGCTCCCCTAGCGCTGCTCCGAGTCTCAACACTCACGCGGGATACGAGACCCGTCAGCAGCAGCAGCAGCATCAGCATCGTCAGTAGTTGTGGTGGTGGACCGAGTAATTCGCCTTCTCCCGTCGAGTGTGACGTTGTAACCAGTGGAGAGCGAGCGAAGCGCCCTCGTTTGGTGACTCAAAAAGACAACGGACGCGATGCGGACGACGCGTTTGGCCGCACAAACATCCCCGTACACTCGTCCAGCAGTCGATTGACGATGGCTGATTGCTGCCACATATTCGTAGAATACGCGAACACATAGCACGCGTGGACACCGATCCCCTTGCAAGGCAACTATGATACAGTAACAATAATATTCGATCTTAGCATGATGCATGGCATGTCCGCATATATTCACGCGAATGGAAGTCGTGGGGGGGGGGGTTGTTATTGGTTAACGTTTATTTACTGGTTAATATTTTTTCATATTTTATTTTATTTTTGCATTCGACGTGAGTAGTGTCTCCCTCGCGTGCGTGGTGAGATGTCTCCGCGTACTCATTTGTCTCCCCAACACACGGGAGTCAAACTCGAATTAGGAACGGCGATTACATTATTCCATCGGCTGCGAGTGACTATCATCATCAGCAGCAGCAGCATCAGCAGCAGTAGAAAGGACAAGAGGAGCAGCAGCAGCATCATTCCGCTTGCAAAGGCGAGACATCTCCGCACCGGTTTCACCCTTTGCTGAGCTCATCAGCAGCGCCACCGGGCCAAGGTTAATAAGAGGCGAGCGGATTGACATAAAGGCTTAGATGCACGTTAAACTACAGGGTTGTTATTGCACGATTGTTGATACTATTGTAGACACTGCTGAGCACAGGCACAGCCAGGGAAAGCAGCATCGCCACTGGGGAGACAAAGGCGGCCGGGCGTGGCGGTTTCCACCCACCCCCGAGTGTGCCGTGCCGGCCTTCATAGGTGCTCGCTGACAGCACTTGACCTAAAAGTCTGTTAAGGCTACACGGAGAATCTTTGTCTGTGTGCAAAATATATGCGGTACCGTTGTTAATCATTAACCCCAAAGTTAAAACATTACCGCCAATAGCTATGTTTGTGTGCGCGCCTGTTCAAATATTAACCAATCATTGGGTCCGTATCTTGTACGATAGCGCCTTGGTCAATCCACTGCTGGATGATAGGCCTCTGTGTATGTGTATACAACAGAGCCGTGCCGCGGCGGTCATGCTGGGAGTTTGTTTTGCTGACCATACTTCACCAAATCTGGTCACTGGGCAGTGCGCATTGTTGCCTGTTCAAATATTAACCAATCATTGGGTCCGTATCTTGTACGATAGCGCCTTGGTCAATCCACTGCTGGATGATAGGCCTCTGTGTATGTGTATACAAGAGAGCCGTGCCGCGGCGGTCATGCTGGGAGTTTGTTTTGCTGACCGACCATACTTCACCAAATCTGGTCACTGGGCAGTGCGCATTGTTAGATGTGCGACTGGGGAGGGTGCTTGGGGTCGGGCTGCGTGCTGATCGCGCGC